GGGGGGGGCTACAAGAGAGACAGAATTTTTAAAGATAATTTCAGATAGTGAGACATGCTGTGAATAAAACAAGAATAACTGAGAACATAATCGGATGGAAGGGGAGAAAGGGGAACACTATTTAGCTAGGTAGCCAGAGAAAACGTCCTGAGGAAATGGCACTAGAACCAAAGGCTCCAAGAGGAGGAGAGGTGGGAATACCAGAGGGAAGAGTAACCCAAGTACAAGCAAGAGGAAATGCATTCACCCTGAGAAAGGAAGGGGGCGTGGCAGGTCAGAGGGGCAGAAGGAAGACCATGTGGCCAGAACATCGTAGAAAGAGGGAGCAAGGTATAGATGGCCTCGGTGGCCACAGGAGAGAACCTGGATCTTGATCCTAATTGTAGTGAGAAACTATCACAAAATTATAAGTAGGGACGCGATATGATGTGATTCAGGCTTGGTGATTAGTGTGGCGGAGACTGCAGTGTAAGGAGCAAAAGGAAAGGCGGGAGCCCAGTTCGGAGGTTGCCCCTGTATCCAGCCAAGGGATGACGGTGGCACAAACCAGCGTTCCAGTAGCTGTGCTGGAGAAAAGTGTCTAGATGCAGGACAGATTTTGGAGGTAACAGCGACATGATCTGCTGACGGAACCAGGACGCTTTCTGGGCCTGGGTGAACGAGGATCTACCTATGTGCTGTGAGCGATTTTCAGCCTCCCCATGGACCTTCCTTCTCGGTACTCACCTCGCTGGGCCACGGACAGAGCATGGAGACAATTACTTGTAGAATCAAAGATGAAATGTAAAACGTAGCATACCTCTCACTTACCCAAATTAGGATCAGTAGCCTGACGTTTCTTAATTTTAGCTTCAGAAATAGCAGAATAATAGGCACACGTCATCTTGATCAGCCACGTGGCTCGAACCATTGGCACTGAATATTTAGCTAAATATGCAAAAACATCTTCTTTTTTACTAAGGATTGGAACCTAAAAAGAAATAATATATTTATAAAACTCATATTTTCTTCATGAGACCAACCTAAAGAAAGGGAAAGCAAAACAAAGACACTAAATGCCTGCTACCTTTAACAGCTACCTTCTTGACGGCTTTTCAAACAGTACATTCTGCTTAAAAACCAAAAAAAAAAAACAAAACAAAAAAGCCAATTTTCATTAAGAGAAAAGAATCAAAAGTCTGTTCAGCACATTGACAACAGTTTCATCAGTTGTGCTTTCTTATTTATTTAAAAAAAAAAAAAAACTTTACTTTCAGAGTCTCAGATGCAGGAAACTACTCATCATATCAACCAAATAGGGAAAATAATTTCCTGACAGTCCTCCAAGGAGTTTATCTCAAAATTGGAAGGTACGGATCAAATGAAAACCTGTCCCCATTCTACATTTCATCAAAGAACAATTTTTTTTTTTTTTATAAAGCTTTCTGGTTGTATCATTTCACAATAACAATTTCCAGAAAGCTTCTAAAGTGCCTTTAGCCCAAAATTTAAAGTAGAGGCTAAAATGATGGATCAGTGAATCTCCCTAATGAACACTGAACTAGAAATAGCTGGGTAATTAATTCACCGGCTGAAAGCAGGCACTAGAGGCAGTTTATTATTTCCTCCAGACCACGAAGGTATACTACTTAGCAAATTACTATCCCAATGTACCACCTGCATGTTTGAGAAGTTAACCCACTCTTCTAGAATTCCTCCTACACGTTCTAGGAACAGCCCAGTCATCTATATATAACCTATTCAACTTATGAATATAGAGTACAACAGTGAACAGAGAACACGGTACTCCATTACGGGCCCCCCAGCCAGTATAGTTAAACTCATCACTCCCGGGCTCTTCATTTATGAATGTGACACCAATCTAACCCTGACTACCTCACAGGTGGTTAGAAGGGTAAAGTAAAAAAGGGGCATCTGGGTGGCTCAGTCAGTTTAAGTGTCTGACTCTTAACATCAGCTCAGGTCATAATCTCACAGTTTGTCAGTGCAAGCCCCGAGTTGGGCTCTGTGCTGACAGTGCAGAGCCTACTTGGCATTCTCTCTCTCCCTCTCTCTCTCTGCCCCTCCCTCATTCACTCAATATGTGCGCTCTCTCTCTCAAAATAAATAAACAAACTTTTTTTTTTTTTTTTTTAAGGGTAAAAGGGCGCCTGAGTGGCTCAGTCAGTTAAGCAACTGACTTCGGCTCATGTCAGGATCTCATGGTTCTTGAGTTAACAGCTCGGAGCCTAGAGCCTGCTTTAGATTCTGTCTCCCTCTTTCTGTGCCCCTCCCCCACTCACACTCTGTCTCTGTCTCTAAAAAAAAGAAAAGAAAAGAAGGGTAAGGTAGAAGAATGACATGTATCAAAACTGGAATGGTTTTAATTTTGTTGCCAGTTCCAAAGATTTCTCCATGCCAGCCAAAGTATTTTCAAGCCATGGACCTGACCCTCTCCTAAGAGGGCCTTGGACACTACAACCGCAGATATCAAGAGCCCTGGTTTCTATGCCCCAAAGTCTCGCTTGATTGTATGTTGGAAACCCAGACTTCAAACCAGCTGATTCTGACAGCATGGCATTTTTCTCTTAGTCAAATCTTCCTTTAGACAGTGGATATTTTCTATCACTCATATGTTACAAATTTGAGTGTTCACACACTTGGTACAAAGTGTGAGCCTAGGATTAAAAGGGAAGTATTTTTTTGTACACAGCCCTTTAAAACAAGCTGTTACACCTGGTTCTTACCAAAGAAACACCCGGTTGGACACTGAGATGCAGCTGCCCATATACTGTATGTGATGGGCAATTTAACAGACTTTTGATCATGGACAGTTCCAGCCCTGGGTGCTGACTTTAAACATAACTCCCATGCCAGAGGCAGCTACACTGCACAAACATACCTAAAAGGAAGATGAAAGTCTTATAAGCCAAAGCTGGAAGGCTTCCTTCTCTGCAGACCACAGTGACACGCTTTAACATGAAAATTTCCTGAAAATTTCATTTATAAGACACGTTGTTCATGGAGCACAAGACTATGGGTTTACAGACTACTGTTTAAGCCAAGGACAAGAAAAGCACAGGCTTATACACTCCATGCAAGACTTGAGCTGCTGCCTTTCATTGGAACATATAGTCTGAGAGAGTTAAATTTTAGTTGCCAAGGCCAAGTTGCCTCTCAGTCAGATGTACCAAAAAATTACAAGATCAAGGTCTAAAAATTAGGCAAATGCAAAAAAGTGAATGTACCATCCCCAAAGAAACATTACTAATAGCATCTTTTACAGATGCCTAAAGGATTTCCTTTGAATAACTGACAGAAGGAAAATAAAAATTTGAACATGTTAAATGTTCAGATGAAATAGCAAACAAAGCTAAGTCACAGGTCTTCAACATGAACAAGCCAGGGCATACCTCCAGTTCAGTGCCCCTACTGGGAGAACCCTGTAAGAAATGGTTAGCTGAAATAAAAGGAATTAAAATTCAGAAGAATGTATGTGAAGGTTATTTAATTAAGGAAGAAGACATATATTGATGGCTTTGTCAAATTCATAGTTTGGGCCAACTCAGGAAGGAAATTATGTTTACAGTGATTGACTTCCTCACAGGCATGGATTCCATTTTCAGCAAAGAAACCATCTGACTACAACTTGTAGCTGAACCTAGGCAAATACTGGGCAGCTGTTTCATTTCTAAATCAAGCTAGAGCTGCATCTAAGTACTAACAGAAAACTAAGACACCTAGCATGTGATGGTTTTTCATCCATGGAAAGGCTGTACCACAGTGTATTGCCTTTCCCCTTAGATAAAGGTCACTGTCAACACCCTCTGTTCACTAAGCAGAGGTGGAGGCAAATGGAAATTACATAGACCACAGTAATCAATGTCACCTGAAGTGAAGAAGCCATACCTAGCGAACTGTTTAAGAGCCAGAAGGATATCCCTAGAGGCCATAGGTCTCTTTTTCCAAATCTAACTATGACCATGGTGGAGTTAAAAGTCCCTTTATAGGCCATTTTTTTACCTCTCTGTGGCTGAATACATGGGAGATCTGTGGAGTTGTACCATAACAGAAAACTAGGTTCAGAAACTTGATTGATCCCATATAGGAAACTATTTTGAACTCGAGTACACAGCTGGAAGAGGACCCAAGATCTTAGCAGGAAAATTAAGGTCTTCTGCATTAAATCATCTCAGAAATAAATACCAGAAATTAAAGAAGTATTTGAACTTTCTACTATGAAGAACATGTAAAGAATGAAATCTTTCACCCAGTTCTGAAAGAGCTTTTGCCTTTTTAAGAGGATGAAATGCTCAGGAAGGGAGGAATAGGGAGGGGCTCCTCAAATGCCCAAGAAATGAATACTTGAAAGCATAGTTAATGGTTTTATAAAGACAACAAGTTTATCTTCACAAAGAATTAATGTCAGGGCTTACCTGAGGAACACCTGACTTGGCCAGAGGCAGCTCCTAATAAAGAGAGAAGAACACTGGCTAATACACTGCACTGTAATTCATCTCCCTCCTCAAAGATGAGAAACCACTACCTACACACACCCCTCAAGCAAGGGCATCAATTCCTCACCATTATTTGCTTTCAGGAAATGTCCAAAAAATGGGATTCTAAAAACGTATTTAAAAAGGAAAACCTAAAAAGAAAGATGTCAGGCTGGCTACATGGAAATTGAAGGTATGACCCAACACGGAGGGTATGAACTATTGGTAGAAAGCCATCACAAAGGCTGTCCTTTGACTTAGGGGGCCTTCAGATCCAATTTACAGGTCATAGAGTACCCACATGGTAAATGTTCACTACTGGACAAGAAATGCTACACGGTTCAGCCGGTGATGAGACAGGCATAACCTGAGTAGCAAGGGGCAATTATGTGGACTGCTATGCTTTTCAAGGATTTCAGTTGCTCTGAATCACGAAAATACGTGAAAGGCAACACAATACTACGGAGGCACGAGGGCAAAAGAAAGCCAATGGTAGCGATAGGCACTATTTTCAAAGAGTTGCTTTAGAAAATAAGCAAGCAAATACAAAAAGGAGCTCTTCTCTAAACCAGGCCTGCGCCACACCAGGTAATGAACACTCACTATCAAGGACAGAAAATAGACACCCCTAAGACTAAAGGGTTTCAGGCAAGTTGAGGAAGACACGTGGGTTACTTGGAAGGTGTGCCAGAAGCCAGAGATGAAGACTAAGAGGTAGGGTAGAGCTCTCCTCTAAATTTCAAAAGACATTTGATAGGATTTGGACACTTGATAGGATTTGATAGGATGAGATTGTTGAATCTGTATTATTTCCCACTTGAGGAAAAATGATCAAAGGCAAAGATTTTAAAAGAACCCTCGCTTTCCACATCCCGTCCCCCAAAAAGGTAGAAGCTATAAATAAACCTGTCCATTCTGCTCTAAAATTTTTTCAAAGAAGTTTTTCAAGCACGCACAGAATCACTACTGTACTTATTAGGAAGGAGACAGCTTAAAGAATTTGGATTGGTACTTTTCAAGACAAGGAAATAACATCAAAGCAAGAATTTCTGTGTAACAGATTTTGGACATCCTGGCCTAAGAAAATAGAAAAAAAAAAAAATACTGGAAATTAATGAACTCTTATGGTCTGTTCTCGATTTTAAAAACTTGTCTACCGGGGCGCCTGGGTGGCTCAGTCGGTTGAGCGTCCGACTTCAGCTCAGGTCATGATCTCGCGGTCCGTGACTTCGAGCCCCGCGTCAGGCTCTGGGCTGATGGCCCGGAGCCTGGAGCCTGCTTCCGATTCTGTGTCTCCCTCTCTCTCTGTCCCTCCCCCATTCATGCTCTGTCTCTCTCTGTCTCAAAAATAAATAAACATTAAAAAAAAATTAAAAAAATAAAAAAAAATAAAAAATAAAAACTTGTCTACCTAAAGTCCACATAAATTGCTTCCTGTGTGGAACATTTAGGTCAAGACGTCCTAGGCACCAGGTGCCATCACAACAAAGGGGCAAAGAGCATATGTGCAGCACCTGCCAGTGAGGCTTTAGGTTTTGGAAGGAACAGGGGGAAACAAGTACGTACTTGAACGTTAGCTCGAACATCGTGATTTCTAGAAGACCACAATTAAAGTAACATTAGAAATACTTAATACCTTTTTTGCCAAAATAGCAAGTGGTTTATTTCCTGCTAAGTCAGAGAACCAACTATGAATTGCACTCTGGGATCGAGCAGTAACCAGCCAGTAATTATCTTTAGCATTAACTTGTGGTTTCTTCTTTCCGGTGTCCTGGAAAGTGTTAAGCTTTAGTTTCTCAGCTAATATGCTGCTGAAATAAGCTGCAATCTGTGGAAACGAGAAAAAAAGAAAAAGTTTGATGACAATAAACAAGTATGTTAGTAATGTATATTCGTATTTCATTTTTGTTTTACGAGAGTATCTTCAAACAGCCGTCAGAAAATAAAATGGCAATTTAAAATGTGATTTCCTTATACTAACATGATGCAAAAACTCCCACAGCACCTTTGTTCCACTATTAACAAGTGGTTCAAGGAAAAAAGAAGAGCCTTTGAGAATCTCTGATAAGATGAAATTAATTACATCCTGAATAAATTTCAAGACAATGGGTTCTGCTTTAATCTTCAGCTGTACTTCTTTTTCATACTACACACAAATTTGGAAGAGAATATTTTTCCTGAGAGGTGTTGCAGACAAAAGCAGAAAGCCTGGTAATCACACAGTAATCATTCTTTTTCTTGTTTCATCTTAATAGCATATATTTTTGGAAAGGAAACTCTGTATTTACACTCAGTGCTTTCTAAAAACGAGACAAGAAAAATTTGTTTAAGTGGAAAATTACAAAAGGTTCGATTAAATTAAGTATTCAACATTTTTGACTGGGCCGCCAATTTCAGGAGTACAAGTATTTCAAGAGAAAGCTACTGTTACCTGCTCTGAATGGAATAAAGTAGCAAAGGGAGCTTCTGTGAACGACTGTGGCATTTCGTAGTAACCGAACTAAAAGAGGACATGAGAAGAAAGGCACAAGAAGGAAAGGGATGAATACCTAAAAATCAAGTGAATCCACCTAAGACTTGTCGGAATTTCCAAGAATCATATTTCATTCCCTGGGAGTTCTTTAATAAGATACAAGCACAATTTCTAGTAAATATCTCTAGTAAGGTTAGTAGACAGTGGTAACCATGATTACAATAAAATACCCCGCTGAAACAAAATAAGAGTCACAGCCTTGGTTAAGGCTCATGAGTCAATAATTAGTCTATAGGCTGGAATACAGTTGTAAAAATTAGTAAAGTTTATCTACACTTCTTCTTTTTTAAAATTTTTTATTTTTGAGATGGAATGAAACCTGGCCATTTGCAGCAACATGGATGGAACTAGAGGGTGTTATGCTAAGTGAAATAAGCCAGGCAGAGAAAGACACTCATATGTGGATCTTGAGAAACTTTACAGAAGACCACGAGGGAGGGGAAGGGCAAAAAGAAAAATTACAGAGAGGGAGGGAGGCAAACCATAAGAGACTCCTAAGGACTAACAAACTAAGAGGAAAGGGGGTGATGGGCACAGAGGAGGGATGTGCCCTGGGTGTTGTTGGGAATGATCACTGGGTGTTGTATGGAAACCAATTTGACAATAAATTATATTTTTTAAAAAAATAATAGAAGGATATATATTGTGCTCCTAAAAAATAAAATAATTTTTTTTATTTTTATTTTTTTAGAGAAACAGTGTGAGAGCAGGGGAGAGGGGTAAAGGGAGGGATGGAAGGAGGAAGGGCGGGGGAGACGGGTGGTAGAGAGAGAATCTTAAGTAGGCTCCACACTCGGGGCTAGATCCCACAACCATGACATCATAACCTAAGCCAACACAGAATCCGACACTCAACCACTGTGCCACCCAGACACCCAGCTGGTATGCTTTTTCTTAATGTGAATTGCCATTCCTTGATCTTTGTGATTTATGGACAATAAAAAAAAGTCTATTTTGGTGTGTTGATATAATATGGTAATAAAAACTTAGAAGAATTGGAAAAAAAATTTGAGCTTTCCTTTTTTTTTTAACAAAAAACTTCATGGTATGTTTTAAGTAAATGTTTGCAGAACGTTGCAACAGAAAATATATTAAAAGTGAAAATGTAGCAATTATAGTTGTCTAGATACAAGCAACCAATAGCAACAAATTGTTTAATTTTAAATTTCTCAATCAATATCTAGTCTTCACACCAAGAACTTAAAATACCTACTTACACAGATTGTTTCATATTAAAAAGTCTCTTACTTGCAATTATGTATGAGTATTTAATCATAATAAATGTATAAAAATGTTTTTAAAAACTAGTCAGCGATCTGTTTTATAACTATGTATTTAATAACAATGGAACAGGTGACTATATGTCTTATGTCTACATCTTAAACCCTGTGAACTGAATATTGTAAACTAAAATTCCCTAAAAAGAGAAAAAAGAAAATCAAAATGAACGTGCACTTAATTTTATATTCACATTATTCCAAACCTAAAAAACCAAATAGCCTCATTCCCAAGTCCCAATGCCTACCTCCAAGTAACCACTTTGCTTAGTTTCATAGGTCTTTCCGGTGTTGCTTCAGGTGAATACACATGAACACAAATAGGTTATTTTTTCTTTTTTATGTATGTACCTCTTTATGTGCTTTAGTACACGTCTAAGTCTTCCACATCTATCTATATATGGAGAATTTCTCATTTATTTTTACAAATAATGCACTGTGTGGGGTACCACATTTTATTGAATCAAGCCCCTGTTAATGGACACTTGGAGTGTTTTTTCCAAACTCTATTATAGATCACATTAAAATGAACAATCTTTCCTATTTGTCATTTCACACATGTACAGCTACAGATTTCAGATAAATTTCCAGAATTCAGATTGTATGATTCTGAAATTTTAATCAGCATTTGTTAAATTGCCCTCCATAAGCTTTATACCAATTTGCACTCCATCAGACAAGGTAGGAGAGATAAAGTTTAATTTAAAACTTGTTTCCATCCACCCAAAGCTATTTTGAAAGTAATTCATTTCATGAGAAAATGGAAAAAAGTTTAGGGACTACAGTATAGTTCATGTATTCCATATTTATAAGATCAAATTCCCTTCAGAAGGTTTGAATCCTTGAGTAAATCTCACAGGAAGGGTTGACAGCAGCAGAAGTTGTAATGGATGTTATTTCCATTTATTCAGTTATTTAAATTGACATAAAACTTGATACAACAGAATATTTTGTCAGTTCGTATCAAGAGACACACAGCAGTCATACTTTCTGTTACGGACCGAATTGTGTTACCCCAAAATTCAGATGTGGAAGCCCTAATCCCCAGTATGATTGCATTTGGAGACAGGGCCTTTAAAAGCGGTTAAGGTCAAATGAAGTCTTAATGGTGGGGCCGAATCCAGTGGACTGGCTTCCTTATAAGAGGAAGAAACACCAGAAATACATGCACACAGAGAAAAGCCCATGTGAGGACACAGTGAGAGGCCAGCCTTGCACAAGCCAAGGAGAGAGGCCTCACAAGAACCCAGACCTACTGACACCCTGATCTTGACTACCAGACCCCTCAACTGTGAGAAAATAAATATTCTCAGAAAATCACATTTCTGTTGTTTAAGCCACCAGTTTGTGGTACTTTGTTATGATGGCCCTAAGAGACTAATACACCTTCTACCCAAGTGACATGCTTCTGGGAATTTACCCTAAAGAACAAAAGCTACATGTTCAAATATGACTACAACCTCTTCATAAATAACCTTAAGAAATTGGCAACAGGCTGGGGCGCCTGGGTGGCGCAGTCGGGTAAGCATCTGTCTCTTGATCTCGGCTCAGGTCATGATCTCACAGTTTGTGAGTTCGAGCCCCTCATAGGGCTCTCCTCTGATGGCACAGAGCCTGCTTGGGATTCTGTCTCTCCTTCTCTCTGCCCCTTCCTGCTTGTACGCTCACTCTAAATAAATGAATAAATAATCTGTTTAAAAAAAGAAAAAAAAGAAATTGGCAACAGGCTAATTGCTGTATACTAGCAGTTTCAGGTCATTCTAGAACATAAACGATGGCATGTTCGTTATCTGTCCATCAATAATTATTAAAATGAATACTTCCGGCCTCAAGAAAAAATATATACCAAATGATGTTACTTTTTTAAAAAACATAAGGAAGACAAAAAAATTCTGGAGGTGGATGGTGATGACAGTTATACCACAATGTGACTTAATGCCAAAGAACTGTACATCTTAAAATGTTAAAATGGCAAGTTTTGTTTATTTTACCACAATTTTTTAAAAATGCCAATTACAGTATACACATAATTGTAGCTGTGATGTTAAAAGTGTATGAAGATTGGAAAAAGACAAAACTAAAAACACTGTGTTCAGTTGATGGCACGATCATCTGTAGAAAATGCCTGTTCTCTTTCACACTGTTTAAATATTTCAGTTGATTAGCAAACTGTCAATTACATGTGTGTACATGTGCAAACAAAGAGATCTTAAATGATACACAAACCTCTAACAATGGTTATTTCTGGGTAAGGAGAAGAAAATATATTCTTTTCATTTTTATGTATGATGCTTTCAATTTAATATTTCAGTATTCAGAAAATAAAAACAACTCAAAAAGGATGAAAAAAAGCAAATTTTAAAAGAATACACACAGAAACAAATAATTCCACCCATATACGTAATTGTTAACATAACCACACAGAAAAAAATTTTTAATTCAAAAAATTTTGGGAGCACCTGGATGGCTCAGTCGGTTGAGTGCCCGACTTCAGCTCAGGTCACAATCTCACAGTTCACGAGTTCAAGACCCATATCGGGCTCTGTACTGAGAGCTCAGAGCCTGGAGCCTGGTTCAGATTCTGTGTCTCCCTCTCTCTCTGCCCCTCCCCTGCTCACACTCTCCCTCTCTCTCAAAAACAAATAAAAACATTTTTTAAAAATTTAAAAATTAAAAAAAAGAGGGGCGCCTGGGTGGCTCAGTCAGTTAAGCGTCCAACTTCAGGTCAGGTCATGATCTCGCGGTTCGTGAGTTCAAGCCCCGCGTCAGGCTCTGTGCTGACAGCTCAGAGCCTGGAGCCTGTTTCAGATTCTGTGTCTTCCTCTCTCTCTGACCCTCCCCCGCTCATGCTCTGTCTCTAAAATAAATAAACGTTAAAACATAAATAAAAATTAAAATTAAAAAAAAGAAAAATTTTATGACAACAATGACTCTATACCCTTAATGAAAATTAATCTAAGGACAAAAAGTATTACAGGAAAATTATAAATTTTACATAGTAACTTTGTTGTTGGAATAACATTGGTATAGTCTATTTTAGAACTTTTTTATGTGTATTTTAAGACAGAGTAAATAAATACATTGAATTTACTGAAAGCCAGAGTTCTCACTTTGGGAGAAGAGAGAGAGAAAGATGGAACATAAAACAGGATAAACCCTGTGATATTGCATAAGAACTGGTGGATGGATGCAAGGAAGGAAAGAAAAAGGAGAGAAGAGAAGAAACAAATCTATGTGTTGTTTCCCATCTCTGTCCACTGAAATGACCTACACGTTATGATACTCTAGAAGCAATCAGCATGCCAAACATCCAGATCTGGGCTGGGGCACAGAAAGAACATGAACCTAAAATACATTATTATATCAAAAGTGAGGAAACGCTCAAAGAATGATGGAGGTGTCAAAAGCACCCAAGAAACAGGTTAAAGGTGCTCTCCCCCCACAAAGTAAGAGACAATTTAAACACCAAAATGAGAAAAGATGACACATCAAATATTAAAGAGTCCAAGGTTCAAAGAGATACTAAAATATGGGGGGTCAGTGCACCTGGCTGGCTCAGTGGGTGGGAAATGCAACTCTTGATCTTTGTGAGTTACAGCCCCACGTTGGGAGTGGAGATTACTTTAAAAAAAGAAGGAAGGGGCGCCTGGGTAGCGCAGTCTGTTAAGCATCCAACTTCAGCCAGGTCACGATCTCGCGGTCCGGGAGTTCGAGCCCCGCGTCAGGCTCTGGGCTGATGGCTCAGAGCCTGGAGCCTGTTTCCGATTCTGTGTCTCCCTCTCTCTCTGCCCCTCCCCCGTTCATGCTCTGTCTCTCTCTGTCCCAAAAATAAATAAACGTTGAAAAAAAAAAAAAAAAAAAAGGAAGGAAGGAAGGAAGGAAGGAAGGAAGGAAGGAAGGAAGGAGGAAGGAAGGAAGTGTTTGGGGCTCTGGGAGAAAGAAAGAAAGAAAGAAGAGGGGCGCCTGGGTGGCTCAGTCAGTTAAGTGTCCGACTTCAGCTCAGGTCAGGATCTCTCGGTCCGTGAGTTCGAGCCCTGTGTCGGGCTCTGGGCTGATGGCTCAGAGCCTGGAGCCTGCTTCCGATTCTGTGTCTCCCTCTCTCTCTGTCCCTCCCCCATTCATGCTCTGTCTCTCTCTGTCTCAAAAATAAATAAACGTTAAAAAAAAAATTTTTTTTTAATAAAAATTAAAAAAAAGAAGAAAGGAAAGAGAAAAGAAAGAAAAGAAAAGGAAACAAAAGAGAAAAGAAAAGAGAAAAGAAAGAGAAAAGAAAAGAAAAGAAAAGAAAAGAAAAGAAAAGAAAAGAAAAGAAAAGAAAAGAAAAGAAAAGAAAAGAAAAGAAAAGAAAAGAAAAGAAAAGAAAAGAAAAGAAAAGAAAAGAAAAGAAAAGAAAAGAAAAGAAAAGAAAAGAAAAGAAAAGAAAAGAAAAGAAAAATGGAAGTGTTTGGGGCTCCGGGCTGGCTCAGTCGGTAGTGCAGGCTCTCTCTTAATCTCAGGGTGGTGAGTTGAAGCCCCACGTTGGGCGTGGAACCTACTTAAAAAAATAAAATAAAACAATAAAAAATAAAGGGCAGGGGGCCTGGGTGGCTCAGTCGGTTGAGTGTCCGACTTCGGCTCGGGTCGTGATCTCACGGTTCGTGAATTCGAGCCCCCACAGCTCTGTCAGCACAGAGTCTGCCTCGGATCCTCTGTCCCCTTCTCTGTCTCCCTCAAAAATAAACAAACATTAAAATAATAGTAATAATAAATAAAAATAAATTCTAAAATGAGATGTCCATTTACACAAGAATGGCAATAATGTATGAGAAAAGACAATTGGAAAACCTGCATTTTGCAACTGCCAGCAAAATGAATCATTCAGCAAGCATCATGAACTGATGATAAAATCACATGATGAAATTTTATTGAAGAACAGCATATTCACTTGGTCTCAAACTATCACCCGAAAGAGTCTACAACAAGGAAAAGATAACTACTTTTACAATATAAAGAGAAGACACCACCTTTGGTGCTCAAACTCAGTATAACCAGTAATGGGCAAACTGGCATTGTATGACTGCTGATATACAATATAGTCTTCTTACCAAAAATATTTAACCTGAAGCTTATCATGAAAAACAATCAGACAAATCTAGAATATAGGACTAGAATATAAGACAAATGTATCTTTTTTTAATGTTTTATTTATTTTTGAGAGAGTGTATGTGGGGGAGGGGCTGAGAGAGGGGGCAGAGGGTCTGAAGTGGGCTCTGTGCTGAGACCAGCAAGCCCAATGCAGAGCTCAAACTCATAAAGTGAGATCGTGACCTGAGCTGAAGTCAGATGCTCAACCCACTGAGCCACCCAGGTGCCCCTGGATGGCACTCTTCTAAAATGGCAACTCTGAAATCCCCCAAAAAAACACCACCATGAGAAAAGGTGGAGCTCAATCCTGTACCAGGTTACAATAGACTGAAAGGACAGGACAACCAAATGCAATGCACGATTCCTAACTGGGTCCTACAGCAGGACAGTATGCAAGATATCCTGGGAATCCTGAATATGGATTGTGGTTTAAATAACACTAATTAATCAACATTAACTATCAAGAGTGTCACACACACTTTTTCAGAAGGTTTAGGAAATAGACAATTTGCATTACCTTTGATGGGTTAATTACAATATTTCTGGCTGAGCCATGTTCATCTCCAGTAAAGGCTGGCTGATTGTTGAAGCCTTGTTTCACATTCACAGCAGTAAGTTCATCCTGGTCAAGAAAAAGTATCAATTAATCAGAAGGACATAAAAACTCCAACTTAACCCGATAACACTGCAGCCTAATGACCGACTACACTATACTCTGGAAAAGACTGTTGAACACACATCAAAGAGAGAGCAGAAATTCAAAGTTTAAAACCAGTACACAAACATACAGAGAATGATGAAGTAAATGTGGCAAAATATTAACAACTGTTAACTTTAGGTAGAGGGTACGTGGGTGTTCATGACACTCTTCTCTTAATTATTCTGTAAGTTTAAAATGTTTTAACAAGTTAGGAAAAGAAAAAAATGAGCAAAAACCCTCCCCACATGCAGAAAACATAAAATCCCAGAATCTGTATACTGGAATTGTTTCTAGAGACCCTATAGTTGGGCTCTCCCTTCCCTGCCAGCCCCTATGCACATCTCTATTTTATGTTCAAGAAAAATGGCTCACTCCACTTACCTAAGACCCCATAGCAAGTTAAAGACAGAAATGAAGGGTTCATAGGCACAAGCTTTATAATAAACACAACACCATGACCAGCAACATGTGAAGGAAGTTTAGGGCTTGCAAAATTCTTCCGTACATGTTGGCTCACTTGATGATATTTACCAATTCTAAGGTAAACGGTAAGTAAGGATCTTCATGCCCATTTATAAACAAGAAGAATGAGGCTCCCTAAGCTAGCACAGTAACTGGACAGAGCCAGCACTGAAATGCTGTCTCCTCAACCCAAGGCTAGGAAGAGAAATCTCCACGACTCCATGTCACCAAAGTACTAATGCCATATGAAAATGTGGTCTAAAAATATGTAGCTACAACTCATACTCTCCTTAAAAACATCTTCTACTGGATATAGGAAAAAATATTCTTCCCAAGGTCACATCAGAAATAGCCCAAGGCTTTAAAAAAAAAAAAGAGAGAGAGAGAGAGAGAGAAGGAGGAGAAGAATACAACCACCACTTTATCCAGCCCAAATCATTGAGCTATGGAACTAAATCAGAGTTCCTAAAATATAGACTTGAAAGAGTAAAGGGGAAAAGTTGAGTAAATGAAGCTACCTTCTCTTCCCCTCACTCTAAACGAAGAAAAGTTCTTAGTTAACTGTTGGGGTAATGCTAGCCATAGCACAAAAATGAGAACATATACTTAACATATACTCCGTAGTTGCTGCAAGTAGAAAATGAAAAAAAAAAAAAAAAAAAAAAAAAAAAAAAAAAAAAACAACTGATCAAAGTCACTGCTGTGATGAAGCAGAAAGCCTTAGGACAAAATAGTTTATGACATATAAGCACCTGAAAGGTCAGCCTGGCTGAGAGCCGAGGTCTCTTGGAGACGTGCCATGGAACTTAACTTAATTGTGTATATACTCTACCTAACATCTTGGCAAGCCACTGTTTGGCAAGCTTTCAAAAGACCCCACTACAGGAAGTTTAGCTCTATGATAATCAAGTCTCCTCCAAGCACGAAGGTCACTGAAATCGTGACCTGCACAGAAAATGAGTTGCATACACCTATCAACACTGAGTCTCAAACTGCTCCCACTTGTTCAAACTAATTATTTGAAAATCTAGGGCAAAACTACATAATGCATATTATAAGTCAGAAAGGCATCAGTCAACTTAAAGCGAGTGCGCTAACAAAATTTCTACAGTCTCAGAGTCTAAGAAAGAAGGGGGACAAATGGGGTCAGAAAGGAAATGGGATGAGAAAAATGAATTTTTATCTTTGATTTACCATCAGAGTATTACAAGAAACATTAATTGAGTAACAGCATATGTTTTTACTAGAAACACATCTGGCTTAATCAAGAAGAAATGTGTGAGGCTTTCAGGACCAGTTAGTTCCATTTAAGGCTGCTTCGCATTCTATTCTAAAGGTACACAGACTCAGCTGCTCACCGTACTTGACTGCTAACTGCTAGCCTGGAGAGATAGGTTCTGCAAACATATGCATGCATGCACACGTACACACACTCCTCAGAAGAAAAAGAACATGGAACCGTGGTTACTGGTCAACCACATCAGATTTTCTTCACACTAAGATCCACACAGGTACTGCTGGAAGCCTTGAGTTCTGAGAACATTTTATCTTGTATTCTAAGTGGCACAAAAACACTTCCAGAACCTTCATCACTACCAATGCCCTCTCCGAGTCAGGGCCCCCATTAATCTCATGCTTGGACATACCAATGGCTCCTAACTGGTCTCCTTGCTTCTACGACTGCCCCCTGGAAGGCTTTTTCAACACAGCAGCCACAGGGAGCTTTTTAAAACTTCAGGAAGACTATGTTACTCCTGCTCAAAAGCCGCATTAACTCCCCAACTCTGGGTATAAGCAAAGGCCCTACGATGTCCCACAAGTCCCTAATGCTATTCCCTTTCTGACCTTATTCCTCACCCCACTTGCCTTAGCTGACTCGACTCCAACCACACTGGTCTTCTTGCAGCTCTTCAAGCAGGCCTGCTGGATGGCCTCTAGCCTCAGGGCCACTGTGCTGTCTGTTCCCTCAGCCTGCATGGCTTTCCCTGGTATCCACACGGTCAACTCTATAACCACCTACGGCTTTGCTCAAATTTTTATATTCTCAACCAGGAATCGGATGACCCTATTTAAAATTTAAACTGCTCACCCTGTCCTCTTCATCCCCAGCATTCCTAATCGGCCAACAATCCATAGCACTCACCACTTAAAATGTCCTGTAATTTACTTACAGTGTGTACTGTCTCCCCCACCACCAGGAAGGTCCCTGAGACCAAGGGTCTTTATTTTGTTCACAGAGGCATGTCAAGCACATAGAGCAGTGCCTGGCACAGAGAGCACACATAGGAATTTGATAAATATTTGTTGAAAAAGTAAGTGAGGGGCACCTGGCTGACTCAGTCAGTAGACTAACTTTTTATCTCAGGGTCGTTAGTTCAAGCCCCATGCTAGGCATGGAGCCTACTTTAAAGAAGAAAAAGAAAAGGAAAGGGGCCTCTGAGTGGCTCAGCTGGTTGAGCGACTTCTGAACTCCACTCAGATCATGATCTCGTGGGTTTGTGAGCTCGAGCCCTGCATCAGGCTCCTCATGCTGACAGCGGGGACCTGCGCGGAATTCTTTCTCTCTTCTTCTCTCTCTGCCCCTCCTGCATGTGCTCCCTCTCTCTCAAAATAAACAAACTAAAACAGGAATCAATTCTGAGGGTACATGTCTCTTAAAAAAAAAAATGAAAGAATAAATGAATGACAACCTGATTTGAACAATTAACTTAATGAGTATATTCTGAATCACTATTCTTTGACTTTGGGGCCCATAATTCTATTTGTATTTATGATAGATCTACCTCATCACCCAGAGCAGTGGCTCTCACCCATCAAACTCAATGCACCATCCCGAAAAAGAATTATTTTATAACACCCTTTTTCTGAATCTGAAACAAAATTGATAAACAATAACTATCCGGTACCAGTATATATTTTTTTTTAACAAATTAATATAATGCCCTCATTCTAAAAAGAATTTTTAAGTAAGTTATGATAACATAGGTATTTGAATATGCACAGGTATACAACACAAGACCTTCACTACTCAAAGCACGGTCCACTGGCCAGAAGCCAGCAGCAGTGCCATCAGCTAGGGCTTGTTAGAAATGCAAAATCTCAGGGTGCCTGGGTGGCTCAGTCAGTTAAGCATCCGACTCTTGGTTTGGGCTCAGGTCTTGATCTCAGTTTGTGGGTTCGAGCCCCACATCAGGCTCCGCTCCAACAGCTCTGACAGCTTGGAGCCCGATTGGGCCTCCCTCTCTCTCTCCCTGCCCCTCTGCCCCTCCCTGCTTGCAGACGTACACTCTCTCTCAAAATACACAAAAAAAATAAAAATAAATAAATAAATAAACGTGAAATCTCTATCACAATGCAAATGCAAATCCCCCATCACAATCTGTATTGCAACAAATTCCCAGGTAATTCATGGGCACCTTAAACTTTGAGAAATGAGGCCCTAGGAGTCATGAATAAATTGTTGTATTTGTTCCTATACCTAGAATCCCTACAATGCAGTAAATACAAATGCAGACATCACACATGTTCTATTGTCATTTCAAATGGTCAGGAACAGCATGATACAACTTTTCAGAAAAAGTGAAAACTCTTGGTAAAGTTTCAAACTAATAAAACAGAATTCCCAAATTTATTAAAATGCAGTGTTATATTCCTCAGAAACTCAGGGTATATTAAATGTATATTAAAATCATGCAAAAAAAAAAATACTTGGAGATCATATGTAAACAGAGTCCCACCTGGAATAGAGAGGGGGGAAAAAAAACAAAATTTAGATGGTCCAGTAGCACATCTGACAGCCCAGTGGGATGCAACTGTCCCTTAAGCCTCACTGTCCACATTAAGGATATCTAGCACACCTGGCCCTGCCCACTAAATGGTCATAGCTCTCCGACAGTAGCAACAACCAACACTGCCCCCACCGGGTTCCACAACCCTTCCATTGGGGACCAAAGACAGGGAAGGGCTGACTTTACCCTTTAGAGGCCTGCTTCTGAAAAGAGGACTTGGAGGCTCTAGGTTTAGGAAACAGTGAGCTTCACATTGTCAAGGGTCAGCAAGAGTCCAGCCCCTGCTGCAACATCACAAGGGGCTGTCCTCTTCCAGCTCTCTACGCACCTTCCTAGCGCTGGGAGATGTGGCTACAGGTGGAGATGATGCTATGGGAGGAAGGCTAAATGGAAATACATACAAGAGAGCAGTAGGTGAGAGCCCAGAGTCTGCGATCGCACTGTCCAAATTTGAACCTCCAGTTCCTGTAAGAGTGGCTCTAAGCAACCTTTGCAACTGTTCCTGTCCCTCAGTTTCCTCAACTGTAAGAGAGAGTTAATAATAGTTTCCACTCTTATCTCCACATCCCAGTTGAAGGAAATAAAGCAGAGAGGTTAACTAGCCCAAGATCATACAGTGGTAAACAACTCCAAAGAATCCATGGTTTCTGACCACCATACTATATGAAATGGTCAGCAATTAGTAGTACTTCTGTTTTTATCCTATTTCTGGTTCAGGAAAGTGGTAACCTAAAGCTCCAGGAAGCACTCACGTGTACAAAATGTCTATTTAGGAAGCTAAAAAGACCTGGCCTTAAGAGGTGGTTCTGAAATATTTGTGTACATAAGAATACCACGGGTTTTAACACAGCTTCCTGGGCCTCATCCCCAGAATTTCCAATTCAGTAGGCCTGGGGTGGGGCCTGAAAATCTGAATTTCTAACAACATATGAATGAAGTATGCAAATCCAGGGACCACACATAAAGAGAACCACTGACATAAGGATTTGGAGTTTGTGGCTTCTAGAAAACCAGGGCTCCCATGCCCAGCATCAGTGCTGCAGTCACCATCAGGAGGAGGAAACTATACATCCAAAAAAGGCTGGTCCGAATTCTCTACATCTCCCTTGCCCTACTACAAAGGTGCAAATACAAAGCAATACACACACACACACACACACACACACACGTATATGTATAGGTATAGGTATATGTCTATGTATATAAAGAAACTAGTGCATAAAGCTTTCTCTTTCACACTTTTGCTTCTCACAGACC